ACCACACCCACACTCAACAACCCACCCCCCCAACACCCCACCACACCCTCCAAAAAACCCCACTAAACACACAACCCCACCAACAACCCCCCCCACCACAACACAAACCACCCCCACACCACCAACACAAACACAAATACTCCCAACCCCCACTCTCATCCCCACCACACAACACACACCCCACAACAAAAACCCAAAAAATAATTATTATCCCCTACCACTATCCCACCCACTCTCACACACCACCCCACTCCACATACCCCCCCCCCCCCTATCCACATACCCAACAACAACCAAATCCAAACTTACAACCCCCCACCCACACACCCCAAACCCCAAAAATCACAACCCCCCCCAATTTCCCCCAACACAAAACCATCCCAACAAATTCACAACACCACCACAACCCCCCCACCCCCCAACCCCTATTTACTACAATCCACAAAATACACACAACCTAACACCCCCCCCAACACCAAAAAAACACACACTCACCCAACCTACCACCCAACAAATCAACACCCCAACATCAACAATAACCACCACCACCCCCCCCACCACCCCACACACCCCAAAACCACCCCCAACCACACACCCACCACCAACCCAACAACACACAACAACAACACACCCCCAAACCACATCCCCCCCCAAAAACACCCCCAACCAAACAAAACTAACACAAACCCCAACACACCACTCCATCCCACCCCCAAAACCCCCCACACCCCCCCCCAACACCACCACCACACCACACCACAACCATCACACAATCATCCCCATCCCTCACCACCCTATCTAATTTTTTACCTTATTAACCTTTAACATCTCTATATAAAACCCCCCCAACTAAAATCCAATATTCCCCCATAAATCAAATTAAAACAATCCTTCTCCAACAACCATAAATTATTTACACCTATTCAATATTCCCCCAAACCCCCTCAAAAAACATTCCCCATCTCCCCTTACACAAAATCCAAACCCAACCTTCCCCTCAAATTCTATCCTCATCAATTAATAATCATTCCTTCAACCACCTATACTAACAATCCCCTACACTCTATAACATTTCACAATTCATCAAATCCACCCTAAACACCCAATAAATCTCATCCCTAAATTACTTTCATCCTTCTTTAAAATTAATCAAATCCTATTACATCACACCACAACACACCCCCCCACCCAACAACCCCACAACCCCAACATCCTAAAACCCAAATACCCAACACCAACCACAAAAAACACACAATAAAAAAACAAAACACAACCCCCCCCCACCCCCCACCCCCCCCAACACCAAACCCACCACCCCCACCCAACCAACAACCACCCAACCCCCCCCACAAAACCCCCCCCACCCCCCCCCAACACACCACACACCAACCACAAACACACCCCAAACACCCAAACCCCACACAAACACAACCAACCAACCAACCCCCACAAACCACCCCAACCCCAACCACAAAACCACCACCCTCACCACACACCACCCCCCCAAATACCACCTACACCACCACAATACACCCCCCCCAAAAAAACCAACTACATACCACCATACCCCCCCCCCCCCCCCCCCCCAACAACCAACCCCTCACCAAACATCAACCCCTACCCCCCCCCTACCACCCTCCCCCCCCCAAACCCAACCAACAACCACACTAATCACAATTCACCCAATACTCACATAACAAAAAAAACTACATTCATCCCAAATTTATCCCCCAAATTACCTACAACCCAACCACAAAAACACCCAAACCCCAAACACACCACTAAACCCCTAACATCAAATACCCAAAAAAACCCACAACCATCCCCCAAACCCACCCCCCTCCCACCAAAACAACCCATTCAAACCCAAAACCCAAACCAAAAACACCCCCACCACATCCACCCACACAACACAAACAACACAAACCCCCCTAAACCCCCCCACCCACTCCCCACAACCCCCCCCCAAAACCACACCCCCCCCCACAACAACCACCAAACTCTCAATACCAACCAACCCAAATTCTCCCCCCCCCCACCATCCTCCCACAACATCCAAAAATACTCAACCCCCCCAAACCCCCCCCCCCCCCAACCAACAACTCAATAACAATCTAATCCCAATCCCCCCCCACCCCCAAAACACACAAACATAAATTCCTATCCCATATACTCCAACCCTATTTCTCAACCCCAACTCCTTCAATACCAACAACACAACACACCTTTAATATAATATCCATTTCTCCTCCCATCCTCCCTCCCACCCATAACAACCTAATCCTACCATACACAACATTCAATACCACACCCCACAAAACCAATAAAACAATCCAAAACACTCCCCATCAACCACAAACCCTTATAACCAACCCTAACACACCCCAACCACCCACCAAACCCCACACCCACACACACCCCACACAACCCACCCCCACCCACAACCCACCAACCCCAACCACCACACCCACCCCACACCCCACCCCCCACCCCCCCACCCAACCACCCCAACCCAAACCCCCCCACACACCCACCCCCAAACACCCCCCCCCCCCCCCCCTCCCCCCAAAAACCCCAACCAAACCACCCCAACCCCCCCCCAAACCCCCCCCACAAACCCCCCCCCAAAACCAACCCCCACCCCCCACACCCCCACCACTCCCACCAACACCCCCCCCACAACCCCACCCAACCCCCAACCAACACCCCACAACCCACAACAACACCCAAAACCCACCCCCCCCCCAACCACAAACCACCCCCACCCCCCCCCCCCACCCACAACCCCCACCCCAAACCCAAAAAACAACCCAACACCAAAACAACCCCCCAACAACCCCACCCCCCACACACCCCCCACACCACCACCCCACCCCCCCCACAACCCACCCAACCCCACACCCCCCCACCAACCCCCCCCCACCCCCCACCCCAACACCCCAAACACCCACCCCCCACCCCCACCCCACCACCCCCCACCACCCCCCCCCACCCCCCCCACCCCCCCCACCACAAACCACCCAACAACACACCCCCCCAACCCACCACCAAACCACCACCAAACCACCACAAACCACACCAACCCCACCCACAAAACCCCACCACCAACCCACCACAACCAACCAAACCCACCACAAAACCCACCACCAAACCCACCACCAACCACCACCCAACCCACACAAACACACCACCAAAACCCCCACACCAAACCCACCAACAACCCCACCACAAACCCACCAACAAACCACCACCAAACCACCACAAACCCCACACAAAACACCAACCACACACCCCCCCCCACCCATACCACACACCCCCCACCACACCCCCACCACCCCAACACCACACCACACCACCACAAACCCCCCCCACCCCCCACCCAACCACACACACCACCCAACAACAACACACAAAAAAAACCCCCACCAACCAAAATCCCACCACACTCACCAACCCAAAACCACCACAACACAACCAACCAAACCAAAAACCACCACACACACCATACCACAACCCCACCCACAAACCACACAACCCCCCAAAACCCACAACCCCCCAACCCCCAAAAACAACCCACACAACCCAACCACCCCAAACAACATCCCCCACCCCACCCCAAACCCCTACACCCACAAACCCCAACCACCCAAACAAAAAAACCCCCCAACCCCCCACCCCCAAATAACACAACAAAACCAACAAAACCCCAAACCCCCCAAACCCCCTAACACCATAACCACCACCCAAACAACCCAAAAACCCACACCACCAACCCCAACCACCCACCAAACAACCCTCATCACACCAACACCCAACAACCCCACAAACACAAAACACACAAATACCAAAACCCCCAACACCCCACCCACCCATACCCCTACACCCAACACCCCTCCCCCCACCCCCCCCCCCCAAAACCCAACAAAAAACCTCACAAATAAAACCCCAACCACCCCAATCACAACAACCCCCCCCAACCCACAATCACCCACCCCACACACACACCACAAAATCACCAACAAATTAAAACCAACAACAACAACAAATAATCCACAACCCAAACATCCAACCACAACCAACCCCCCATACCACCCCCCCCACCAACCAACCCCAACCCAAAACACACAACCCAACAAAAAAAAACCCCACACCACCCCCCCACCCCCACTCAACAAAACCAAACACCACCCCACTCCCCCCACAAAAAAAACCCCAACCACCACACCCCCAAAACCCAACCACAAAAACCCCCCCCCCCCCCCCCCAAACAAACCCACCAACCACCCCCACACCACCCCACAAACCCCCCCACCCCCAAACACACCCCCCACCCCCCCAACCCCACCAACACCCCCACCCACAAACCCACCCCACCCCCCAAAACACCCAAACAACCACCCCCCACCACCAAAACCCCCACCCCCCCCACCCCCACCCCCCCCCACCCCACCCCCCCCCCCACCCCACCACACCCAACACACCCACCCACCCACCCCCACCCCACAAACAACAACCCAATCACAACCACCACAACAACCAAAACAAAACAAACACACACCAAAACCCCCACACCCACCACACCCAACCCACCAACCCACACACCCCAAAAACCCTATCTAACAACCCCCCCAACCCACACCCCCCAAAAATACCCACACAACAACACAAACCACCCACCAAACCACACCAAAACAACATCACCCAAACACTAAACAACACATCCAAACCCCAAAACACAAACACAACCCACCACCCCTCCCATACCCCCCCCCACCCAAATAACCAAAACCCCCCCACCCCAACCCCCCCACCCCACACCCACCAAACCCACAACACAAAACAACCCCCCACAACCAACCAACAACAACCACCCCCAACACCTTAATACCACACAATAACACCAACCACCAACACAACAACATCCAAACACAACCCAACTACCACCCACCCCACCCACCACCCCACACACCATACACCCACACCAACAACACCCACAAACATCAACAAATCACAAACAATCCACCCAACCCAACCCAAACCAAACACCACCCACCACAAACAAAAAAATAAACCCCCCCAACAAAAACAACCACAAACCAACACACAACACCCCACCCCCCACAACACCCCCACAACCCCCCCCACCCCCCCCAATCCACCCCCCACACCCTACAACCCCAACCAATTACCCAAAACCAACTCCTCCAACCCCACCCCAACACCAAAAAACCAACAACCCCCCCCACCCACCCCCCAACCCCACACCCCCACACCCACCCCCACCCACACCAACCCCCCCAAACCCTCCCCCCCACACCCCCCCCCAAACAAACCAAAACCAACCACAAAACACAACAACACTCACCCAACAAACAAACCACATACACACCACCCACACCCACACCCCCCACATCACCACAACAAACCCCCCCCCACCACCCCAACACACAAAACAACCCACCACCCCCAACCCCACAACCCAAACACAAACAAACCAACCAACAAACACCCCACACAACACCACCCCCCACCACAACCACACCCACCCCAACCCCCCCCACCCCACCACAACAACAACACAACACACCCCAACACACACACAACCTACCACAAAAAAACCCAACAACACCCCCCCCACCACCCAAAAACCCCCCCCCCCACATCACACCACCCAACCAACCACCCACACACCCCCCAAACCAAAACACCACACACCCACCCCACCACCCAAAACCCAAACACCCTCAACAAAAAAACAACACACCCACACCCACAAACCCAACCCACAACCCCACAAACACCCACACCACAACCCCCAACTACCAAACACCACCCAAACCCCCCCCCAAACACCACCCCACACAACCCCCCAACACCAATAAACCCAACACAACCACCCCCCCCACACAAACCAACACAAACACCACAACCACCCAAAACCCCCATCCTCCACAAAACCACCATCCAACCAATCAAACCCCACACCCCATCACAAACACCCCAACCACACAACCCCCCCAAACCCCACTAAATCCTCAAATCCAACAACTCCATACAAACCAACAAACATCTATTCTACTCCCCCCTCATAATAACACCACCCCCCCACCCAACAAAAACCACCCCCCAAAACCACCACACTACCACACCAAAACAAACACAACACCACCCCCCCCCCCACCCACCCCACCCAACCCAACACCCCCCCCCACCCACACCCACACAACCCAACCCCACCCCCCCCCCCAAATATCCATCCCCCTCACCAATCCACCCACCATCACACAAAACCCAACAAAACCCCACTCCAAAAAACAACAAACAATACACCCACAATCCCCCCCACTACACACCCCACACCCCAAAATTCTACCTTACCAAATCTCACAACAACCCACAAACATAAAAAAACACCTTTCAATACAAAAAAAAACCATATACCATTTACTACTCTACCCACCCCCTTTAACCACCCCACCAACCCAATTCTCCACCCCCAACCAACAATCCCATTCCTATTCAATAAAATAACCTATACCTTATTTTTCAACCTTTATAATTAATCCCCCACCCATTTCTATACACAATACCACAAAAAAACACAAACTCCCCTAACTCTCCCCCCATTACCATCCAATTTATTCCTTAATATTCTCCTCCATCCCCCAAACACCTCATTCCCATCATTTCCTAACATTTCATTCTTCTTATTATTATATCACCATCACCACTCAATCCCCACCACCCAAACCAAATCAACACCCCAAACCAACCCCACCCCAACCACCCATACCCCCCCCACACCCCACCCCAACAACCCCACAAATACCAATACCCCCAATCATCAATACCAACCCAACCAACTACCCCCCTAACATAACAACATTACAATCATATACCCTATATCCTTTCACACCCCCCTAAACAAATATCATATCTATCATATATATATATATATCATATATATATTAATACTTATAATATATAAACTAATACTAACACTAACACAACAAACACACACCACTAAACACACCAACCCACACACCCCCCACACCCCCCCCACAACCCCCCCCAACCCCCCACAAACCCCACCCCCCACCACCCACTCCCCCCACCCAAACAACCCCCAACACCACACCACCCCACACAAACCACCCACCCCACACACCACCCCCTCCACCTCCCCCCCCCCCAACCCCCCAACCAACCACCCAACCCCACCCACACCCACCCCACCCAAACCCCCACCAACCAAAACCCCCCAACACCCCAACCCAAACCCAAAAACAAACAAATCCCCTAACAACCCCTACCCCCCCCCCCCACCAAAACCCACACTACCCACACACCCCCCCCACCATCCACAACCACAAACAACAACACCCAACCAAACCACACAACCACACACACACACCAACCACACACACCATCACACAACAACAACACCACAACACACACACACACCCACACACACCTCACAACCACACACACCCACACACACCAACACACACCCACACACCACACACTCCACAAAACACCAACAACACCACACACACACACACACAACCTCAAACCACACACAACCACACACACACAACAACAAACCACACCAAACACAACCACACATACCACACCCACACACACACACCCAACAAACACACACACACCACACACTCACCACAACACCACACACACACCACACACACACACACTTCCAAACACACCCATACCCAATCACACACACACACACACACTACCACACACCCTCACACTCTCCACACCCCAAAAACAAAAAAAACCCACCCTACCCCCAACAACAAACCAAACAAACTCAACCAACACACAACACCACCCAACACAACAACCCAACTACTAATAAACCTCCCTCCATTACCCCCAAACACCCAACCCAACACAACCTAAAACCCCCAAACCCACCCCACCACCCACCCCACCCCCCCCCACAACACACACCCCACCCCACCAAACCCCCTCCACACCACCCCCACCCCCCCAAACCAACCCACCCCCCCCCCAACACTAACAACTATACCCACAAAAATCACAATCCTCTTAAACACCAACAACTTATCCACCTACCATAACATAAAACACCTAACACTAATACCACACTACCCCATCAAAACCACAACCAATCCACACACCAACCACAAAACCACTACCAAACCACCACCCAACAACTACACCACACTACTAACAACACCACCCACCACAAATCCACCAACAACTAAAACACCAACCCAAAAAACACAACCACACCACCACCCAACAAAACAAACAACAACACAACACAACAACAACAACCACTTTCTACAACACCACCCAACCACAACAACACCAACCACACAAACTCAAACATAACCCACAACACAACCACCAACCAAACAACACAACCCCCCCATCCACCCACACACCACAACCACCCCCCCAACCACCCCCCAACCACACCCCCCCCCCACCCAACATCCCATCACCCCCCCACACACCCCAACAACCCAACAACACCCCAACCAACCCCCACCCCCACCCCCCACCCCCCAACCCCCCCCAACCCCCCCCCCCCACCACCCCCCCCAACCACACCCAAATAACAAACACACACCCCCCACCAAAACACAAAAACCACACCCCAAAACATAAACAACCACAAACACCCCACCCACCACACACACCACCCCCCACAAACCCCACCACCAAACCCACACACCAAAACACCCACCACAAACCCAACCAACCCCCCAAACAAAAACAAACCACAACCAAACCCCCCACCCAACAAAAAAAAAACACAACCCCCCCAACACACAAAAAAACCCAAACCCCAACCAAACACACCCCCCACACCCACACACTAAACACCCAAAACACAACACCCCCACCCACCCACACACACCCCCCCCCCCCCCCCAACCCCCCCCAACACCACAAACACCCACCCCCCACCCCCCACCCCAACAACCCCCCAACCCCACAAACACAACCCCCCACCCCCCCCCCACCCCCCCCCAACCACACACCCAACCACCCACACCAACTACCCCACCCCCCCCCCCCCCCCCCCCCCCCACACCCAACCACCCCCACACCCCCACCCCACACCACAAACCCCACACACTCCCCCCCCCCACACACCCCCCCCACCCACCAACCCCCCCACAAACAAAATAACAAACCCCCACCCCACACAAACCACACCAACCACCCACCACCCACCCACCCACCCACAACAACCACCCAACCACCCCCACACCCCAACCCCCCACCCCCCCCCCCCCCACACCCAACCCCCCCACAAACCCAACACAACCCACCCCCCACCAACACCCCCCCCCCCCCCCCCCCCCCCACCCCACAAAAAACACCCCCCACCAACCCCCCCCCACAACCCCAAACCACACAAACCCCACCACACCCACAACCCCCCACCACACCCACCCAACAACCACAAAACCCCCACCACCCCCCACCACCACACACACCACCAAACCCACCACCCAACACAACCCCACCACCCAACCCAAACAACAACCCCACAACTAACACCACCCCCAAAAACCCCAAACCCCACCACACCCCCCCCCAAACCAAACCTACACACCAAAACCAACAACCCACCACCCCCAAAACCCCCCCCCCCCCCAACACACCACCACACAACCTCTTACACACCACCAACCCAAACCCCCACACAACAAACCAAAACAAACAAAACAAACACCACACCCCCCCCACCCCACCAACAACCACCCACCCCAACACCCCACCACACCCCCCCACAAAACACACCCAAAAAACAAACCCCCCCCACCCAACAATCCCCCCCCCAACACCCAACACCCCCACCCCCACCAAACTCCCCACAACAAACAACACCACCACCCAACACACCACACAACTACCAAAACACCCCAACACCTACACCATATAACTACAGATCCCCACCAATCACCAAAACCACACCATCCCTACCACATATCTACCATTGTCCCAAACATACACACATCAAATATAAACCCCACCAACCCCCCCCCACCACAACATACCACCCCCCAAATATCTACACCCTATCCACACCCCTACCCCAACCACCCCTACACCCCCAACAACAACCTACCACAACACCCACCCCACCCCCCAAACCCCACCCAAACCAAACCACAACCCCCACCCCAACCACAACCACCACCCCCACACCACCCACCCACCCCCACACAACACCCCACCAAACCCCCACCCCACCCAACACCAACCACACACACAACTCACACACCCCAATCACCCACTCCCCCCCCCCACAACAAACAACACACCACAACCCACACACTCACCCACACCAACCACACAACCACCACCCACCCCCATCCCCCCCCACAACCCCCCACCCACCCACCAAAACAACCCCCCCACAACTCCAAAACCAACCACACCCCCCACCACCCAACCCCACACCCAACCATCCAACCACCCCACCCCCACCCCACACCACCCTAACCCACACAAACACAAACCCCAACACCCACACACCACCACACACCCCACACAACCCACCCAACAAAAAAAAACAAACACCAATCAATCAACCACCCCACACCACACCACACAACCACACCAACCCCCAACAAACCCCCCACACCCCCCAACCCCCCCACCAACCCCCCCACCCCAACCACAACAAAACACCCACCCCAACCCCAAACCCCACCCACACCCCCCACACAACACCCCAAAACAAACCCCCCCAAAACCCCCCCACCCCACCACAACCCCAAAACCACACCCCAACCCCCACCCCACAAACCAACCAAACCACCCACCCCAAAACACCCACCCAACCCACCACACCACCCCCCCACCCCCCCCACACCCCCCCCCCCCCCACCCCCCCCACCAAATCCAAAACAAAACAACCACCCCCCCCCCCCCACCCACCCAAACACACACCAACAAACCCAACCCAAAAACCCCACCACAACCCCTCCCCACCCCAACACCCCCACACCTAACAACACATAACCAAAAACAACACCACACCACCCCAAACACCAAACCACCCCCAACAAACAAAACACAAACACCACACACCCCACCCACAAACAAAAACCCACCAACCCACACCACACAACCCAACACCCAAACCACACACAACCCAACTCACACAACACCCCAAACCACCTCCACCAAACACAACCCACACCAACCCACACAACCCCCAACACAACTCCACCACACCCAACACCCACAACCCACCCCCCCAAAACCCCCCCAACCACAACCCCCCCAACACCACACCCCCCAACACCCCCCCCCCCCACCCCCCACCCAACCCACACCACCCCCCCCCCAACACACCAACCAACCCCCCCAAAACCCCCCCCCAAACCCCAACACACCCCCCCCCCCCCCCCAAAAACTACCCCCCACCCCACAACCCCCCACCACACCACAAACCCCCCCCCACAACCCCACCCCAACCCCCCCCACAACCACCCACCACCACAACCAACAACCAAACCACCCCCCCCAACCAACAACCCAACCACCCCAACACCAAACCCCCCCCAACCCAAAAAACAAATCAACCCCAACAACAACACAACCCCCCCACACACACACAACCCCCACACCCCCCCCCACCACACCCCACCACCCACCAACACACACCCAACCCCCACACCCCCCCACCACCCACCCACCCCCCCCAACCACCCCAAAACAAACCCCACCCCACCCCCACCCCAACACCCCACACCCCCCCCCCCCCCCCACCCACCCCCCACACCAAACCCCACAACACAAACACACCAACCCCACCCACCAAACCCCCTCACCACCAAAAACCAACACCAAACCCCACACAAACCCCACCACAAACCACCACCAACCCCACCCACAAACCCCACCACCAAACCCACACACCAAAACCCACACCAAACAACCACAACCCCAACACCAAACCCACCCCCCAACAAAACCCACCACAAAACAAACCAACAAACACACCAAAATTACCCCTACTTCAAACACCTAAACAAAACCCACCAATAAACACCACCCCCAACAAAACCCACCCACACAAACTCCAACCAACACAAACACCCCACACCCCTACCAACCCACCCAAACTCCCACACCCCCCCACCCCACCCCACACCAAACCCACCCCACAAAACCCCCCCCCACTCCAACCAAAACACCCCTCCAACCACAATCATCACCCCAAAACACACCCACACACCAAAACCCACACTCAAACCCAACCCCAAACACCAACAAAAAACCAAACCCCCCATCATCCAAAAACACACAAAAACAAACCCACACACCACCCACACAACACCAACCAACCACCCAACACACACAAACACCCCATACACAAAACCCCCCACCACACTACCCACCCCTACCCCCAACCCAACAAACCCCCAACCCCCAAACACACCAAACACCCACCCCCCAACCCAAAATACCACCCATACCCCCAAACACCCCCAACAACCAACCCCACCCCCAACCCCAAAAACAAACCACCCACAACAACAATACACCCCCATCCACTACACCCCCAACCCCCAACCCCCACAACCTACCCCCCAACACAAACCCACAAAACCACAACACACCAACACCACTACCACAAAACCACTCCAACAACCACATACACCCTCCCCCCCCCACAACCCCCAACACACACCCACACTCAAACCCAAACCTAAAATCCCAAACAACCAAACACCCAACCCACCCCAACCCCCTACACCATCCACAAACCCAACACCTCAATAAACTCATCAAACCTAAAAACAAAAACATCCCATCAACAACCAAATACTAAAAACATACAAATAATACACCCTTACACACACCCACCCTCATCCAAAAACAAATAAAATTTATCTCTATCCAAACATAACAAAAAACAACAACCCACCACCCCAAAAAATCTCCTCAAACCCTTTAAAACCCCCTAACCCCAAAAAAAATATCCTAACCAATCACAATTGTATTGTCCATAGGGAGCGGGATAGCCACTGTCCAGAAATATCAATATGTGTTCTGTAGATCCAGGACTGAGGCTGTAGATCCAGGACTGAGGCTGTAGATCCAGGACTGAGGCTGTAGATCCAGGACTGAGGCTGTAGATCCAGGACTGAGGCTGTAGATCCAGGACTGAGGCTGTAGATCCAGGACTGAGGCTGTAGACCCAGGACTGAGGCTGTGGATCCAGGACTGAGGCTGTAGATCCAGGACTGAGGCTGTAGATCCAGGACTGAGGCTGTAGATCCAGGACTGAGGCTGTAGATCCAGGACTGAGGCTGTAGACCCAGGACTGAGGCTGTAGATCCAGGACTGAGGCTGTAGACCCAGGACTGAGGCTGTAGATCCAGGACTGAGGCTGTAGACCCAGGACTGAGGCTGTAGGCCCAGGACTGAGGCTGTAGATCCAGGACTGAGACTGTAGACCCAGGACTGAGGCTGTAGATCCAGGGCAGAGGCTGTAGATCCAGGACTGAGGCTGTAGATCCAGGACTGAGGCTGTAGATCCAGGACTGAGGCTGTAGATCCAGGACTGAGGCTGTAGATCCAGGACTGAGGCTGTAGACCCAGGACTGAGGCTGTAGGCCCAGGACTGAGGCTGTAGACCCAGGACTGAGAGTGTAGATCCAGGACTGAGGCTGTAGATCCAGGACTGAGACTGTAGACCCAGGACTGAGGCTGTAGATCCAGGACTGAGGCTGTAGATCCAGGACTGAGGCTGTAGATCCAGGACTGAGGCTGTAGATCCAGGACTGAGGCTGTAGATCCAGGACTGAGGCTGTAGGCCCAGGACTGAGGCTGTAGACCCAGGACTGAGAGTGTAGATCCAGGACTGAGAGTGTAGATCCAGGACTGAGGCTGTAGACCCAGGACTGAGGCTGTAGACCCAGGACTGAGGCTGTAGATCCAGGACTGAAGAGCGACCAGTCCTCAGGTGCAGATGAAAGAATCTGGATTCTGGGGTCCCATCATCACACCAGGGAACAGACAGCGGGTGAATAGCAATGAACAGACTCCAGCTGAAGTCTTGTTGGTGACAGATGCAGCAGGAGAGAGGAGAGTCATGATAGACCTTGGATTTGGTTTGCAAATGCCTCGGTCTGGGCAGCTACAAATATAGAGAGAGCATTTATAGAGAGAGACCAATGAGTGATAGACCAGAAAGATCGACCAGAGAGAGGGAGACCAGAGATAGAGACCAAGAGAGATACCAAAGGGAGACCAGAGAGGGAGACCAGAGAGGGAGACCAGAGAGGGAGACCAGAGAGGGAGACCAGAGAGGGAGACCAGAGAGGGAGACCAGAGAGGGAGACCAGAGAGGGAGACCAGAGAGGGAGACCAGAGAGAGAGACCAGAGAGGGAGACCAGAGAGGGAGACCAGAGAGGGAGACCAGAGAGAGAGAGACAGAGAGAGAGACCAGAGAGGGAGACCAGAGAGAGAGACCAGAGAGAGAGACCAGAGAGAGAGACCAGAGAGAGAGACCAGAGAGAGAGACCAGAGAGGGAGACCAGAGAGGGAGACCAGAGAGAGAGAGACAGAGAGAGAGACCAGAGAGGGAGACCAGAGAGGGAGACCAGAGAGGGAGACCAGAGAGAGAGACCAGAGAGGGAGACCAGAGAGAGAGAGACAGAGAGAGAGACCAGAGAGGGAGACCAGAGAGAGAGACCAGCGAGGGAGACCAGAGAGGGAGACCAGAGAGAGAGAGACAGAGAGAGAGACCAGAGAGGGAGACCAGAGAGGGAGACCAGAGAGGGAGACCAGAGAGGAAGACCAGAGAGGGAGACCAGAGAGAGTGACCAGAGAGGGAGACCCGAGAGAGAGACCAGAGAGAGAGACCAGAGAGGGAGACCAGAGAGGGAGACCAGAGAGAGAGAGACCAGAGAGGGAGACCAGAGAGGGAGACCAGAGAGGGAGACCAGAGAGAGAGACCAGAGAGAGAGACCAGAGAGAGAGACCAGAGAGAGAGACCAGAGAGAGAGACCAGAGAGGGAGACCAGAGAGGGAGACCAGAGAGAGAGACAGAGAGAGAGACCAGAGAGGGAGACCAGAGAGGGAGACCAGAGAGAGAGACCAGAGAGAGCGAGACGATAGAAAGAGACCAGAGAAAGACTGAGAGAGAGACCAGAGAGACAGCAGTAAGCAGCTATGTTTTTGGTCCATTAGTTATGAACATTTCTTCTCTTTCAGCTGTTTTCAGTCTGAACAAAGCACTAACTGTTAAGACCCTGTTTTTGTTGATTCGTTTCACTGTGACCATTGTTTCTGTACTTTTTACCTTGTTTTCTTGATGTATTTGTCTGGAGCACTCTGGGGACTATTCCACTGTGGTTTTACTGCAGATGGCAAAGAAACTGAACGAGATTGTTTGTGTTGCAGGCGACCTCCCACTCTGCCTGATGGACGGTGCCTTCACGTGGAAACTGAGATCACAGACACATCTTTGAGGTAAGAGCTGCCGTCATTAACACCCTGTTTCTCAATCAGGGGTCCGCGGGCCGTTAGTGAGGCTTCAGATGATGGTTTTGTCTTTGGGAATGGTCCATTATCAGCGGATTGGTCAAAGGATTGAAGAAACTTGATTGTTTTTTTTTTTATGTAAAATATGTTGAGATTGTGTTACTTTGTTGAAGGCTGTAGTTTCAAGTTTGTATGAATGTGTGTGTTTATGGTGTTGGTCCTGGTCCTGACCCTGGTCCTAGTCCTAGTCCTAGTCCTGGTCCTAGTCCTGGTCCTTGTCCTGGTCTTCATGTATGAATGTGTGTGTTTATGGTTGTGGACATGGACCTGGATTCTCCTTCTCTTACACAGTTGCAGCTCGTGGCCTCAGACTCTGTTTAAATGTGTTTTTACTGTTTCTGAGTAAAGTAAACAGACTGAACTCTGCTCATCCTGGAAAGTGAATGGATGAATATACATACTTCAGTGATATACATATATATATATATATATATATATATATATATATATATATAATATACTGTATGTGTGTGTGTGTGTGTGTGTGTGTGTGTGTATACTCACCCCTCTGCTGTTGCTGCTCTGTGATTATGAACCTCATGCTGCGTTCAAGAGCCTCATTGTCCCACATCCTCATCACCTCCTGATCCATGTCGCCATGGTGACGGTCTACAGCCTCCACGCCGCGACCATCCAACCTGGCTGTGTTCAGGCCTCTGATTACACATGTGACTGTGGTGGGAGTACATGTGTACATACATCCATTTTCTTCCCTTTTGTCCATTTCTGGGACAGGGGGGATTCTTACCCAATTCACAGAATACCACATATGTGTATGTGTACTGCGATATATATATATATGTATATATGTATATACAGTATCAGCAGTATCAGCTCTCAGCTCAAAGAGTCAGAAAGCGACTCTTAGGGCTCTTTCTTATAAGTATGCAAAAGATAAAAGTTTATACACAACTTTCTTTTTTACAAACAAAATCAATTTATGAAAAATAAAGTTAAGTATTTGGTTAATTATAGAAAACCATAAATGTTTCCTTATTCTATACTGAATACTACTCCAGTGGTTAGCTAACACCACACAGAAGGCATAGGGAAAAGCATTGTTATTGTGTAGTCCTGCTTCAGACCTGGTTCAGACCTATTTCAGACCTGGTCCAGACCTGGTTCAGATCAGGTCCTTCTGTGTTTTTAAAGCTGTGGACACAGACGCAGAGACAGTGATGGATCAGAGTCTGAAGTGTGAGCTGCCAGGGAACTGCAGATCTATACAGAGAGAACGACCAAACGGCAGATTTATGAACCAGGAGAGACCCACCTCCTGCAACCAATCAGGGAAGTGCATCTGGCTCAAGACCTGACACTCAGGACTGAGACTGGACTGAGACTGGCCTGAGACTGGACTGAGACTGGACTGAGACTTGACTGAGACTGGACTGAGACTGGACTGAGACTGGACTGAGACTGGACTGAGACTGGACTGAGACTGGACTGAGACTGGACTTCTGCCGTGATGAAGAGAGGGGCACTTTGTAATCTCATTCCCAAGTGAGGGGGTGAGGTATCTCTGTGTGAGGGAGAGGGGCTGGTGGTGTGATGTCACATGTTCTTTGAGTCACATAGAGTTTTAGTTCTAGTAGAGAGACTAGAGAGAGAGAGATCAGAGAGACACTGGAGAGAGGGACTAAAGTGTGACCAGAGAGAGACCAGAGAGACCAGAGAGAGACCAGAGAGACCAGAGAGAGACCAGAGAGAGACCACAGAGAGACCAGAGAGCGACTCGAGTGAAAGACCAGAGTAAGAGACCCGAGTGAGAGACCCGAGTGAGAGACCCGAGCAAGAGACCCGAGTGAGAGACCCGAGTGAGAGACCTGAGTGAAAGACCAGAGTAAGAGACCCCAGTGAGAGACCAGAGTGAGAGACCCCAGTGAGAGACCAGAGTGAGAGACCAGAGTGAGAGACCAGAGTGAGAGACTAAAGAGAGAGACTAAAGAGAGAGACCAGAGAGAGAGACTAAAGAGTGACTAGAGAGAGACTAGATTGAGGTGTGATGTCACATGTTCTTATACGCAGCAGTGAGAAACACATTAGACAACAGCTGATCAACACCAGGAGACCCATTTCCACAGGACGCGATCAGTGACACCTCCCTCTGTGTGTTTAATGTGTGTGTCTCTCACCATCTGCACTGTTTGCTCTGAGCTGAGAGCTGATTGGCTGAGCAGGAAGGATGAGGCCAAGTAGTTTGATTGAAGTTCGAAAGTTGTGTACCACAGCTTTAAATCTACCAACTGGATCTATTCCAGTCCAGGTCTTTCTCTCTTGTCTCTCTCATTTGTCACTCTTTAGTCTCTCTCTCTTTGGTCTTTCTCTGGTCTCTCTCTCGGGTCTCTCTTGGGTCTCTCTCTGGTATCTCTCTGGTATCTCTCTGGTCTCTCTCTGGTCTCTCTTGGGTCTCTCTTGGGTCTCTCTCGGGTCTCTCTCGGGTTTCTCTCTGGTCTCTCTCTGGTCTCTCTCTGGTCTCTCTCTGGTCTCTCTTGGGTCTCTCTCCGGTCTCTCTCCAGTCTCTCTCTGGTCTCTCTCTGGTCTCTCTCGAGTCTCTCTCGGGTCTTTCTCTGGTCTTTCTAGTCACTCTTTAGTCTCTCTCTCAGGTCTCTCTCTCCAGTCTGAGGCTACATAACCAGGACTGAGGTTGTAGATTCAGGCCTGAGGCTGTGGATATAGGTCTCTCTCTGTGCCCTCTCTGGTCTCTCTCTGGTCTCTCTCTGCTCTCTCTCTCCGGTCTAAGGTGTAGATCCAAGTCTGAGGCTGTAGCTCTAGCCTTCACCTTGACTTTGATACCTCCCTGATTTGGCTCCAGCCCTGGGAGACTGTGGGGCCTTGATAAAAAGAAAAAAAGTTAAAATAATTAATAAAAGAAAGATATTAAAATGTCGGTGTTGCCTCAGCGCTGGCTTCACACTGAGCCTCAGATTCGGAGGAAGTTCCCAAACGCCCCCCGCCGAGAGAACAAACCTGCTCCCCTGTTATTTGCCTTTGATGATGTTTCAAAGTCGGTCGTTCGTTTGTTCGTGGTGTCACTTGGGAAATCTATTTTTGTATTTTTTACCTCTCTCGCAGCTGTAGCCCCGCCTCTTTGGATCACAAGGAGAAGCGGAGAGGCCTTTGTGGCTGGCAGATGGCGGCTTCATTCATTCACAGAAACAAAACTTGTTCATTTCTACTTTTGGAGAATCTAACAAAGTGAACTATTAATGAAATCAATTTGGCTCCAACAGTTTCCTCACAGCGAGAAGGCGCCAAGATCATCATCATTTTATTACAACTCTGTCTGAAAAACAAGCAGACATTTTTAGTGTTAATCCAGCTCTCTGGTCTCTCTCTGGTCTCTCTCTGGTCTCTCTCTGGTCTCTCTCTGGTCTCTCTCTGGACTCTCTGGTCTCTTCCTGGTCTCTATCTGGTCTCTCTCTGGTCTTTCTCTCTGGCCACTCTCTGGCCACTCTCTGGTTATTCTCCTGGTCTCTCTCCGGTCTGTCTCTGGTTTGTCTCTGGTCTCTCTCCAGTTTCTTCCTGGTCTCTCTCTGGTCACTCTCTGGTCACTCTCTGGTCTCTTCCTGGTCTCTCTTTGGTCTCTCTATGGTCTGTCTCTGGTCTCTCTCCAGGTTCTTCCTGGTCTCTCTTTTGTCTCTCTCTGTTCTGTCTGCTGATTCTCTCTGGTCTCTCTCTCTAGTCTCTCTCTGGTCTCTCTCTGGTCTCTCCTGTCTGTCTCTGGTTTCTCTCTGTCCTCTCTCTGGTCTGTCTCTGGTCTCTCTTCGGTTTCTTCCTGGTCTCTCTTTTGTCTCTCTCTGTTCTGTCTGCTGATTCTCTCTGGTCTCTCTCTCTAGTCTCTCTCTGGTCTCTCCTGTCTGTCTCTGGTCTCTCTTCGGTTTCTTCCTGGTCTCTCTTTTGTCTCTCTCTGTTCTGTCTCCTGTCTCTCTCTGGTCCCTCTCTCTGGTCTCTCTCTCTGGTCTCTCTTTCTGTTCTCTCTCTTTGTTCTCTCTCTCTCTGGTCTCTCTCTAGCCTCTCTCTAGTTTCTCTCTCCTGTCTGTCTCTGGTCTCTCTTTCTGTTCTCTCTCTCTTTCATCTGTCTTGGTCTCTGGACGCTGATCCGAAACAGTCATAACATAAGACCATGTGCAAGACCAGAGAGAGACCAGAGAGAGACCAGAGAGAGGCGTCTGTAGTTTTACCCCTGTCCCAGTTGTGACCTCCTCTTGACTTTCTCTGCCTCCTCGTCTAATCTTTCATCACAAACGCTTTCCCTCTGATTCCCTTCAGTCTCTGAAACAAAGCCACTCAGACTTCCACAAAGCACCTGAAGAAGAAACCCTTTTTAATTACTGCAAAGATACCATCGAGATTGTGACATCAGCAACTTTACAGAGACCTCTCCCTCTCTCCCCCTCTCTCTCTTTTTGCCTGATTAATGAACAGAACAAAGACCCCGTGGCTTCTCTTTGGTCTGGCTGAAGCATGCTTTTGATAGGGCACTAATTGGGTCTCTCTCTGGTCTCTCTCTCTGGTCTCTCTCTGGTCTCTCTCTCTGATCTCTCCCTAGTCTCTCTCTCTGACCCCTTTCTCTGATTTCTCCCTTTCTCTCTGTCTCTCTCTTTTTCGATCCTGATCTATTTGATCCCTTTCTAGGATCAATCTCTGGCCTCTCTCTGGTCCCTTTCTCTCTGGTCTCTCTCTGTCCTCTCTCTGTCCTCTCTCTGGTCTCTCTCTGTCCTCTCTCTGTCCTCTCTCTGGCCTCTCTCTGGTCTCTCTCTGTCCTCTCTCTGGTCTCTCTCTGTCCTCTCTCTGTCCTCTCTCTGGTCTCTCTCTGGTCTCTCTCTGTCCTCTCTCTGGTCTCTCTCTGTCCTCTCTCTGTCCTCTCTCTGGTCTCTCTCTGTCCTCTCTCTGTCCTCTCTCTGGTCTCTCTCTGTCCTCTCTCTGTCCTCTCTCTGTCCTCTCTCTGGTCTCTTTCTGTCCTCTCTCTGGTCTCTCTCTGTCCTCTCTCTGGTCTCTCTCTGTCCTCTCTCTGGTCTCTCTCTCTGGTCTCTTTCTGTCCTCTCTCTGGTCTCTCTCTGTCCTCTCTCTGGTCTCTCTCTGGTCTCTCTCTGGTCTCTCTCTGTCCTCTCTCTGGTCTCTCTCTGGTCTCTCTCTGGTCTCTCTCTCTCTGTCCTCTCTCTGGTCTCTCTCTGTCCTCTCTCTGTCCTCTCTCTGGTCTCTCTCTGTCCTCTCTCTGTCCTCTCTCTGTCCTCTCTCTGGTCTCTTTCTGTCTGGTCTCTCTCTGGTCTCTCTCTGTCCTCTCTCTGGTCTCTCTCTGTCCTCTCTCTGGTCTCTCTCTGGTCTCTCTCTGGTCTCTCTCTCTCTGTCTCTCTCTCTCTCTCTCCCTGATCTCTCTTTCTGCTCTCTCTCCGGTCCCTTTCTAGGATCTCTCTCTGGTCTCTCTCTGGTCACTCTCTCTAGTCTCTGTCTTTTCTCTCTCTCTGTCCTCTCTCTGGTCTCTCTCCTATCCCTCTCTCTCTCTCTCGATCGTGACATCAGCAACTTTACAGAGACCAGATCACCCCCTATCTCTCCCCTGTCCCCCTCTCGCTCTCTCTCTTTTCCTCC